TTTTTGTTTTTGCTAATCCATGGAAATCGTCTTAAGACATTGATCGTTACCTGTTGTATTCAAATCGTCCCGATTTGGTCACTTGTAGTCGTTCGGGTTTTACAGTCAGCTCTTCGAGTTTTACGATCAACTGTTGCCAGCTCAAACCTAGCAGACCTTTGGTGATATTTAGTGCTTGTTCAGTCTGTTCCCGGAACTTTTGGATCCCTAGACTCTGCTGACGCTTGACATGTGAAACAGTTCAAGAGTATAAGCGCAGTAGAGATTATCCGGGATCTCATGTACTCGAGCCTGTTCATGCCTCTTGCTGTTAAACCCACTTGGACTGATTGTGAGTTGCTCATCACTGAGAACTATTTCCTTTCAAGCCCGGGGAGCTTGCTTCGCTGCTCTACAGTACCACAAACGATCGATTACATTGTTGAAACGAATTAGGACCACATTATGAATTCAATTTCGATAAGCCAACCATCGCTTTATGTTTCAGTCGCTCGTGTATGAGCTCAAAGTTTTTTTATCGGCGATTGTTAGGTGTTCATTTATCCATGAAACTGATTATGTTAATGAATAAACTTGTGGTATGCATTGTATTCATGCAGGGCACTAGTAAGTATTGTTGGGTCGTTTTTTTTAGAAAGAATGCCGATCACAGCTGTTCATGCTCGTCAAATCTACGATTCACGTGGAAATCCAACAGTGGAGGTGGATTTAACCACTGAGAAAGGTTAGCTAAGTGTCTTTATTGGGTGATGGTGAACATTACCGAAGCGATAAAATCGCCGAATGTTGACAATGGAAATATTTCTTGAGTTGTGAATTTCTCTTGAGTTGCATGATCCTCATATTTTTTTAAATCAAATATATCGTTGTGGGACAGTCCAGTTTCGCCTGTCATATCCGTCATCAGAGTCCTAACATAGGGGAGGTGAGTTTAATTCTGCAAGCATACTATCGCATTTCGGACTTGTCATAAAAAATAACTTCGTAGATATGACTCCTAATCATTCTTAATCATTCTTCCCTTCATGCTTATCTGACTAGCTGGAGGATCCTCACAGGGTACTTGTTTTTGGGTAATTTTGGGATGTCAGCGAGTAGTGAAGGAGATCAACAAATTAGTCCTGATTTTGTGCCT